GGAGGGCAGGAAGGAGGAGGGCCGCAACCAAACAGAGGGCAAGAGGTGATGAGCGAGCAGGAGGAGGGATCTCACACAGTGAAACAGAGCCGCGGCCCCACTAGCTAAGATGAAGGGCTCTTTTAATTGAGTTTCTGATGCCTGCTTAATCCTATTCTCCATATTAATCCCTTACAATGTACATAATCAAAACAAATACACCCATGGGGGGGGGAGAAATTGTTAATGGGAAACAGACAAAGGGGGCATGTGGGACACCTGTTTGCAACCTTTGGGGACACGCTAAGGACATGTCCCAGTCATCGCTCTCCCTCTGCAGCGTTTTTTTTTTTACCGCCAAATGGGGTTTGCAGTCACACTTGAGACTCCTAATATCTTCCTCCCGGAACGCATTGTGCTGCCGAAATGTAATTGTACCACTATTCTATTCTTGAACACGGCTTTATATCCGTGCGAGGGAGCAACAAGTGGAAGCAGTCACCTTGCCCAAAAATAAAATTCCTGTCTGTTTTTTTTTTTTTCAGTTCTGCTTATGCCGACTGCTGAAAAATAGTTTCGCTCCTGATGTTTCTGTTTGTCACGCTGCCACTTACCAGCCTCCAGAGTGGCGCCTATACGGCACAACGCGTAGAATTTATTTCACGGTTAATTCTTTTCGCTCTCATGGTGGACTAGATGTCTTTATGCTATAAGCCTATGTTTGTTTGTTTTTTTGTTCAATGATCAGCAGTTTGTTTTTTTTTTAATTAATATTTTTAGAGTGGAATGTAAATTTTTGTGGCGGAGGGGAACAATTCCCAGCTTGTTTAGTGGAAAAAACACAAACTGCTGGACTGTAAAGTCGCTATCTACAGTATTGTTATGCACCATGCAACTCAGTTTTTATATAATAGCAAATGTACCTGTTCTGGCACATCTGAAAAATATGCTTCCCCTATTTAATCATTTCAATGTTATGTTTGTTACTATATCGAATAATATGTTGTGAAGCTGATTAGCAAGCAAGAAGGGGTTATTAAATCAATTACATAAAGTATAGGGAAATTGATTACACCTTAACGAGCAGATTTTCAGAGCAGGACAGCGAATATGAATGAAGATATCCATCCATTATCTATACACCGCTTAATCCTCACTAGGGTCACGGGGGGCTGGAGTGTATCCCAGCTGACTCAGGGTGAAGGCAGGTTCACCTGGACAGGTAACCAGTCTATCACAGGGCTACACTTAGAGACAGACAACCAAGCACACTCACATTCACACCTACGGACAATTTAGAATCACCAATTAACCTCAACATGTTTTTGGACTGTGTGGGAGGAAGCTGGAGAACCCGGAGAGAACCCACACTGCACGGGGAGAACATGCAAACTCCACACAGAAAGATCCCGGTGCCCCCACCGGGACGCAAACCGGCGACCTTCTTGCTGCGAGGCAACAGTGCTACCAACTGCAGCCCTGAATGAAGATATGTGTGAATATAAACATCAAAAATAGCAATAAATAAGAGAACAGTAAGAACAGGTGTGCAGAAAAAATGGCCGTGACCAATATATACATTTTGTGCAGATGGTAGAACAGTAGTGTGTCCATCTGTTACACAAAGGTGAGCTGCTGCACAGTGTTGTGGTGACAGGTGGGAATGAAAACGCTCTTTACGACCACAGAGCTGTATGTTGTTGTAGTAAGTCATAGAGGGGGGGATGAATAGATTTTCCATGATGGGGAGGAGTTTTATTAGTGACCTCCTGCTCCTCAAGTGGCTCTATGCTTTGACCAATGTGCGATGGAGCTTTGCGGATGAGTTTATCGAGCCTGCCGGTGCCGACCACAGTAGATCTCCCGCATCTTGTTGCAAACGTTGAAAAAATCTCAGAATTAGAGTCTGCTCAGCGCTCGGTGTCAGCGTTAGTCATCCAACCAGCCGTCATCAGCCGTCATCCACTTGTTTACATCTCATAGCGTACGATTCCACAAGTCATCCACCGATTCCACCAAACCGCCCCCACCATCGCAGCGTAATCAGAGGGCTGCTGCAGGTGGCACGATTCAGAGTTACGCCGGAACTCTGATGCGCACACAAAGAGCAGAAATGGAGACAGAGCAGTCCCCCGTGGCGCTGCCGCGTTACTAACCGCCGCATCAGACGGGGAGCTCCCCGGTGACCTGGGCTGGCGCCTGTTCGACAGATAGTCAGTGATCCAGGAGACAGTAGACGTGCCTGCACCCATCCTGAGCAGCTTTTTTTTTTTGCTCCGTGGAAAGGTTGGATGGTTTGAAAAGATACTGGGGAAAATATTTAGAAAGATGATTCCCCACAGTGCCACCTTTACAATCTAGGTGAGGGTGTTGCAGCAGGGAGGAGACAACATCTTGCACATCCACATAAGGCTGAAAAGCAAACTGATAAGGGTCTGTATAGCTGCTTTCAACTGTGCTGCCAGAAGCAGACTCTCCACTACTTTCACTACATGTGATGTATAATCATCATATTTACTGAACAACATTGAAACCCCACTTGTTGCACTAAAAACTAACACTATCTTCTGGGTGTCCACTGGCGTCTGGCGTTCGAATCCTCTGTTTTGCAGGATGAGGCCTCCATGCATCGGTTCTGATCAGATTGGGATTTGAGGAATTTGGAAGACGAGGCAATGCTTTGGACTCTTTTTCATGTTCCTTGAGCCTCTCCTGAGCAGTTTTTGTTGTTCGCCAGAGGGCATTAGCTGGCTCGGAGAGGTGTGCAGCAATGTTTAAGTGAGCTGTTCAAAGCAACATCCACGTGAACGCCAGGAATCAAGGTTTTTCCAGAAGATCATTGGATTACAGCAGGATGATTACACTTCAGACGGTTTTAATGTTGGAGCCGATCTGTATCAAAAGAAGCATCTCAGCTCTCGTTGTTCTTCTTTTCCAATGAATCTGACATCAAAAAAAAAGCCTGTTTAAAAATGTAACACGACAACAAAGATGATTGAAAGGCAGCCTTCTTATCGTATGTATTTGCTGTTTTCTTTCTGGATCTTGCTTACAGATCAGCACGGCGCATACAGATGTAGACGTTTCGCACAGGTCACCTTGCGATAAACTCGACGTTACCCAATAATCATCGCACTCCGCCGCATAAACCGACAGAAATGCTTAGCTCGTTCTCACTTCTGCCCAGCTTCAACAGGTACCTGAGGGAGAGTGTGTGAAGAGCCATGCAAGTTTAATGCCGGCGGTTTCTGCAGCAGAACAAAGCCCACAGTGTTGGTTTTCATCTCTTCTCTACATGGAGCAAGTGGAGCATGAGGAGAAGGAGGAAAGGTAAGAAAACATTTTCCTCCCTCCTCCCTGCCCTCCTCCTACCCCCCCCAACAGCCTCAGATTTGTCAGTAAATCGCACTGATATCACACCAGGTCACCCGGCCAGCAGGCTGTGAAATGACTTGTTGATCCCGGAAATGTGTGTGTGTGCAGGAGAGAGGCAGTGATACTTCTATCTGCAGGTTCGCCGGAGAAACCTTTTCATGTCAGACCTCACAGTGAAATAGCCCTGCAGCTTTACCCCACCACCACCACCACCACCACCACGCCAAAGCCGCAGAGAGTGAGTTAGAATGAAAGCGAAGCGGAGACGGAAAAAACAGAACATTTGAGGCATCAGTGGTGTCTGACAAACAAAGACTTATCGGTGAGGGGAAGGAAAAAAGAAGTGTGTGGGACAGGAGAGGAGAGGAGAGGAGGGGGGACCATGAGAGCCAGATTTCATTGGGTGGACATAAAGATTTACTAATGTTCTGCTCTAACGATGGCAAATTAGATCAGGGGGGCCGAAAGAGAAGTGAATGCGGAATGAATGAAACGAGGACTGAGTGCTGTCCCTTGCATGAAGCCAAATTAGCATGCACAGTAGATCTCTTTTATGGCATTGGCGCTGTCCGTGGTGCTGAAAAGATGTGGTTACACAACGGATAATGTTCGACTTGGACGGCAGGAAGGAAGTGGGAATAAATCTCGCAGGAAAATTGAGATTTCAGCGAGCTATTAGCTTTGAGTTGGCCAACCTGGCAGGGAACATCATGGTCAGAGCTGCAGACTGGAGGGAGGAGGAGGAAGAAGAAGGAAGAAGAAGAGGGGCTTAAAAGTGGCCTGTTACCTCAGAAAACAAATGACCTCCATTTATTAAAGAATTCAATTTCAGGAAAGCTTCTTTGTACCTCAAATCAATCTTTATGAAACACACAGAATCCCTCTTATGCTGTTGGAAAGATCTCCTTTTTTTTTTTTTTTGGTTTATGTGCCAGAATATTAAAAAGTAAAAGAATCCAGTCTGAAAGCAGTGAAGCAATTTCTATACTGGATTGTCTATCTTATAATAAGATTCATGAAATAATTACAATGAGACATTTTTTTTTTTGATTGCTTTTTACAATAGTTTCAATTCTGAATGAAAACATTAAGAGCAAATTCCCTCCTAGACCCGCGGAGGCAGGAGGAAACGTTACCCGACGAATTTTCATTAAAATTCAACAAGAGGCAAGCTCCGTGAGAGGTTAGATTATTGGCGGGCAGGCGCATGGACACACACACACACACTGAGACACACACACACACACACACTGAGACACACTGAGACACACACACACACACACACACACTTCACAGCTGGTGCGCCTTCCTCCAGCAGAGACTGACAGAAGCGGGGCGACCGCTCTAAGCTGCGAGCGCTCATCTCTCCTCTCCTCCACCAGCGCGTCTTTCGCTGTTGACATAAAAACTTTGAAGAGGTGAGAGGCGAAACGTCAAAACGCCGACAAATCACCGTCGACAGCGCGCGTCAACAAATAAGGAACGGTGGTGGTGGAGGTGGTGTCGGGGTGGGGGGGAGAGGAGAGAGAAAGAAAAGAAACCATCAAGTCCGAGAAAGAGCGGTGGAGCCGGGAGAAAGAGGGGAGCTATGCCATCTCCCGCCGAGCAGAGCCCAGTCCTCCTCTGTTGTGTGTCGGAGCTACAGCATGGTGTCTCTCTCTGGACTCTGGACCTGCTGCCTCGCCCCGGGGAGAACTCATCTCCTTCTCTCCGCCAGACCGCTCCTGCTGCTTCTCCTATTAACCGCCTTCACCTCCTCGGAGCCCTGCTTCCCTCACCCCCAGCCCTGCCACATCCTCGCCCGGATAGGACACACCGTGCGCCTCGGCGCGCTCTTGCCGACCCGCCAGCCGGCACGGATACAAAACGCGCTCAACCGCGCCCTGGCGAGCCTCCGGCACCAAAGCGGTGGTTCAGACGCCTCCACCACCACCACCACCACCTCCCAGCCCCCTCCTCTGCTGCCCTACAACCTGAGTCTGGAGATGGTGGCTCGATCTCCCGCGGGAGGAGACCCGGAGTCGTTGTCCCGTAGTGCCTGCCAGGACCTGGTGGTCAGGGGTGTGTCAGCCGTGCTCGCCTTCCCCCGCTCCCGGGAGGAGCTGATCCAGGTGGAGTTCCTCTCCTCTTTCCTGGAGATCCCCTTCATCTCCATCCTGGAGGACACAGAGCCGCTTGTGACTAAGGTAGGGATGGATAGTATGCGTTTTTCTGTGCTGCCCTGATGCACCTGTAGCAGTGATCTGTAAAAGAACAGGGGGATAAAAAGGTTATTGGGGTGTACATCATGCTTTTAATGCTTCCTGCACCTTACACCTCAATCATGAGCAGCCCTCTGGCCAAACACATTTTCCTGTGAACCTGCAGCAGAGAGCTGACACTCACCACTGAACCTTTGACTGAGCCATTAACATGTGGCGGGGATTTTGTTGTCTGTCCTGGTGCAAAAACAGAAAAAAAAACCCTCCTTTTTTGTTAACCAGCCAGATGCTAAGACTGGCTAAAGGCAAACGAAGAGCGTAAGTAAAAGTAATTCTAACAGGGATAATGAGAGCAATTATCCTTAAGCCCAATTTAAAGAATGATTAAAATAAAAGTGTTGGGAACAGAAATATTGAAAATGTTTAATTGCAGATTAAAAGGGCGTTTGGATTTAAACTTCTACCACTAAACGCCTCCTTCCAGCAAAGTCTGATGCTCGGATTGATCTCAGCTGAGCTACGCTGGTGAACCTGCAGGCCCTTCACATGCATATGTAATATCTGCTAGCTCTGACTTGGTATTGGACTGAACCCTCAAGCCAAGTGATTTCTTTTTTTCCTGTTTAAGCTCTCCTCTGTGTGTGTGTTAGCAGACCCTATGTGAGAGAGAGAGTGTGTGTGTGTGTGTGTGTGTGTGTGTGTGTGTGGATTTGCTTGTGCCAGGATGGATGTGCGTGCATCTATGTCTGAAGATGGCTTTCGGCAGCTCTCTCTCTCTCTCTCTCTCTCTCTGAAACAGTGGAGCGGCTGATGTTGTTGGAGAGGTGTTTCTCCTGCTGTTAATGCTATTTGTGCGATTGCATATGCACCATGTTTACGTGTGTGTTGTTCCATCTGTGTGCAAATTAGGTAGCCAATAGACACGTGTGTGTGTGTGTGTGTCATGTTAGTATTCCCAGCAGCAGTAGAGCTGCTTGCCAGTCAGTCAATCCAGCTCCAGTCATATCCGCCTCTATCCAACCGAGCAGCCAACTGCATGTCGCACACACACACTGGAGCGTGCACACTCTCGCACAAGGGGGGGGGCAACCGAGACACCACACACCGGCACGTGCACATAAAGAGGACTTTCAACTTTCACACAGGTTCGGTTGAGACACACACACATCCTGAATCAGAGGCGGCATTTTGGACACAGCGAGGGGAGAAGGGAGGAGGAAGGATGGATGTATAGTTTAAGTCCTGTGGCGTTTATTTTTTTTTCGTCAACAATGGATTGCTTATTCGATTTCAATAAAGCTTGCATGAGTGAGAAGTCAAACCACTTGACGAATGCGTCGGCATGAGATAAGCAGAGGAGAGTGGAAGGAGAGAGCGAGGGGGGAGATATGAGGGGGAGACGGGATGGGAGAGAAGAGGGTTTCTTTGGAGCTGTGGGAGGCCTCTCAGTTGTACAGAAGTGTGCCAAGCAGTCAGGGGGGCAAAATAGAAACAACCATCACTCTCTTGCTTTGTGTCTCAGTATTTTTAGCTGTAATTTCAAGCAGCATTTCTGCATAAACGGATACCTTTTTTTTTTGCTTTTGTGTTTATGCTACACAAAAGCGGTTTAGCCTTATATTAAATTCATGATTTTTTTTTCCTTCTTAGTGTCAGGCTAGTCTTTGTGTGTTCCAGATATCCGGCCACAGTCGCGTTTTTTTTGTAAGCGGCAGAGGAAGAATAGCGGCGACAATTCGTCTCATGAAGACTAACAGCCAAATAAGGGCCAGAAATTCAAAAGTTGGGAATGAATTGGAAGGAAGAATCCTGCGTGGGCTACATAGAAAATCGCTAATTCCTCCTTTCTGCTTGTGCACTTTGATGCTTAGAGGTTGTAATGCTCAAACAATTAGTCCATCAATCTCAGATTTGCCTGCTTTCTTCTTTGTGGGCCTTTTTTTTGGTCATTTTCAATCCATTTTTTGGTCTGCCAAGGGTTTTGGACAAAGCGAGACGCTGCCTTTGACTCTGGGAAACTGTGATGGTCATTTTTCACAATTCCCAGACAGATTAGACACTGAAATATTGATCAGTTTACCACAAAAGCACACACTTGCTCTAATGACAATAAAAGTAGGCACCAGTCGCGGCCCTAAAGCCGTATGAATTTCTTTGGAGTGGCCGGTGAGGGATTGTGGCGTGCTCTCATTCTACAACACCCCGGGGTGCATCTCCATAGAAAAAGGAGGAAAAATAAAAGGAGGCTGGTAGGAGGTGGGACAGGTTCTTAAACACACACAGAGAGGGCAGTGACGAGTGGCTGAGGTCAACAGGGAGGCGAATTGTAAGCCTTGTACAAACAGGCAGCGGTGCACTTGGCTTCACTGCTGATATCAAAACACAAGAAGCAGAATCTATAATTCTAATTAAAAATGCTTTTTACATTTTCTCATCGGGAGGGAGGAGCGCTCCTCGGAGGAGGAAGGAGGGCTGGAGGAAGGCAGAGACAAAACAAACGATTCAGGCCAAAAAATTTGCCGGCTCTGTCACAGATTGATCCAAACGAGGAGGGGCTTTTTGTGTGTTTGTGTTTGGAAGTCTTTCCCCCTTGAGGTTTTGAAATTCTGTAGGTTTTTTTTTTTTCTTTTTTTCCTGCAGGGTACTGGGAATTGAGCCCATGTTTTTGTGGTGAACAGATCCCTTCCCTGGACATCAGAGAAGAGGTGGATAGACACACAGAAGGAAAGCGAGACTCTCACGTACGCAGTCAGACTCGCTTTGCTTCCTGCCAAGTGTCAAGTAAATTTCCCCACAAATTTTTAAAATGCCACCGAAACATAAAAGATGACTTGTTGAGTGCCTTCGCAGGCTCCGTCCACAAGGTCAAAGAACGTGTCCATGGGAGAGACGAACACAAAGCGTCTTTCAAGAATTAATGAGTATGTGGCACGGTGTTATTTTTTCCTTTCCTGTCAGCTAATTTTGTCATACTTCATGTTTCGTCTGAAGACGGAAACAAAGAACAACTCTTGGCACGACCGCGTCGGGGGCGTCGTGTGACATTTCTTGGAGGTTGTGATGATAGATATTTTTCCCAAACTACTATTCAGTACACCCCAAAAAACACTGTGTAACCAGCTGCTGAAGGGTTGTCATCATTATGCAAATTTCTCCCATAAATTGTCACGAGATGTTTTCACAAGAGTCGGGGTGGACGGGGGAGAAATTCCTCCACCAGTGAAGTGATGAGGGACGAGAGAGGACACAGAGGGACAGACGGAGGCAGGGGTCGGCCGGCCGTCTGCGTTCTCCTCTCCCTGCTTAGTCAGACAGAGCGTTGGGACTCGGTGATGCGTCTCACCGAGGAAGTGCTTATTCCTCCCAGCCTACTTAAGCTAATTAGAACCACTGTGTGACCCCCGACCGTAAATCTCGCTCGTCCATCTATGGCAGGCAGGATGGGGAGGAGAGGAGGAAGAGGAGAAAGGAAAGAAAGACTGCGAGGGGAGTGGAAACGGAAAAAAAAAAGCAAATGGGCTTCTAATTCCCATTAGGGCCATTACGAGCATTTGGGCAGGTTATTTGTTCATCAGTCGCTTTTCATGGAACCAGAAGGGAAAATGAGGATATTTGATGTTTGAGTAGAAAGAACCTCCTCCCCCCCAAAAAAACAAAAAAATTCACCTTAGTCAACCCCAAAATGATGAGATGGGTTTTAAAATTGATATTCGAATAGTATGTTACGGTGTGCTGGTAATAGCAACATAGTCATTATAAAATAACATAATTTGTTGATGCAATTTGCCAACAGATGTGATTGGAAAAGAAACACATCTATGCATTTATAATGTGGCTGTCGTCTTTATTTTTTATTTTTTTGAAAGCGCAGCCTCACCAAACAATTCTGGATTTGTTGATAATATCACAGAAATTATTTTGTGGATCATGATTTCTATTTCAGAAATGTATTAGCAGGGAGAGCTGAAGGAAATGGTTTTTGCTGATTCCTGAATGTGATTAGGTGAGAGGGGTGGTACGGTGTGAATTCATTATTTGTCATTTTTCACAGTGGAAGTTGTGTTGCTGCAGCTCACTTTACCCCCAGTCATATTTAATACTATTGAAATACACCCTGAAATCCTGCCATAAAGCACGACGTACAGGACTCTATTTCACAGAGTCTAATTTGAAGAGAATGTATATTTTTTTTCTCTCTGTATAGTTCAGCTATTATTTCCACATTATATTCCATTTAATACAAAAGAGCATTTTCTTCCTTTGTCTTAGAGTCTGGCTTCTACCTGCCTTGTATGCACAAGTACAAAGCACTTCTTTCTTGACCCCTCCAGTTCTATGCACTTGTTTAGCTTGCTACTCTTTTTTTTTTTTTTTGCAGTGCTGATCTGAATCTGCAATTGTCTTGCTGCTGAACTTTAAGTCCCTTTGAATAAAAGCATTAGCCGAATGCCTAAGCTGCAAATGTTGATGTCATTACAGCTACCCCTAAAAGATAATCACCGCAATCATGTGGCATTGTAGTGTATAATTCATGAGGTTTCTGCTGTTTATGATGCAGAAGAACCTTTTATTGATCTGGTGGCGAACTACTTTCTCCTCTGCAATCTATCCATCCTGCATTCTTTCATTAAGTCACTTCTTTTTTTAATGACATACCTCATTCTGCTTAGTAAAATGAAGATTAGTACAGTAAAAAACCCAATTTGCGACTTTGAATGAAATTACATTTTAATCCAGGGACCCTGCTGAATAAGACGCATTGTGGCTCAGAGCTAGCCCCGCTCTCAGAGGACACACATACTGCCGCACATTGTCTCACACACACACACACATGCGTGCACACTCACGTGGGCGTGCGTGCACGGCTGCAGAAAGGCACATGCACAGGTCCCACACAAATGTATACCTGCATATACCAGATTCATGCACACGCATACAGTGTCTGCTCTGTGCTCACTAAAGGTTATTAAGCCTAATGAGGCTTT